TCATTTCGTAACAACAAGTTCAATAACTTCGATACCGAAGATGTTAAATATATGAGTCAGTTCATATAAGCCACGACCGATTTTCACTTTAGCTGTTCAAACGAGCTTGTCACATTTTGTTCAATGAGGGATATTCCCAATTCGCTTGTTGACCACGAACATGGATATCCATGTTCGTGACCAACAAGCGAATTGGGAATATCCCTCACTGAAAAATTAGTTAATAGTTCATTAAATAATTTATCCGAATATTAAAACAATCGTATTAAAATTCTTGATTTTTATCAACTAGTCTAATCTTTGTATCATCAACAAAGTGTAGAAAATGTTATGTTTAGTTTCAAAAAATAAAATTTTGTTTAAAATCATATTAGAACTAATGAAATTGAATCCTTTTTTTAGATCATATGAATTGAATTTCATATAGTCAATAATGAATTAAAGTAAACAATGTAAAATGATCTGAATATCTAATGATAGTTTATTTAAATATCATTCATTTTGTTTTTTCTTTTTTTTACTGCTTACAAATATTTGAATTTTATATCGACTGAGTATCTTATAAGTCGTGTAAATCTACACCAGTGTTTAAGTAATCTTATCGTATTCATCAAAACTAAATAACATATTATTTATATTTTTTATTATTATCTTATTTTTTTATCAGATATATGTGTGGTTCGATTGTATATACTCTTTTCTTTATCGGAATATTCACTGAGACTTCGGACTAATATTCAGTTTGACACAATGAAAGGAAAAAGATTTATTTTCTTCTGTCAAGAGAACAAATCAGCATTCTTTTCTTTCCAACTATTGTATCGATTATGAGAGAAAAATATATTCTACACAAATAATAACACTCAAGGTTAGTTCTATCATAGATTATTTAACAAATATATGAAATAAATAGTTTAGTCTTGTGATTTTACATGGTAAAAATATATTATTCCATTTAAAATATAGAACAAATTTAACACAAAGAAAAAACAAATAGTTGTTTTGTTGTTATATAAAACAACATTGTGCTTATAAATCTATTTGCGTAGGGGTCAAAATAATATCAATAAGGAATGTACGAAAAAACGATTAAAGAGGTTAACGATTGTCTTCCAAGTATGTTTTTCTATCAATCCTAGTTTTTTTTTTATATATTAAAATATAATTTTGAAGGTCGCAAAACATATCACTACCCTAAAATTGTCAATATTTGTCTTTGATTGCATAGTACCTTCGTGTCAAACGAATGATTTATTCTATCTGGTTATTCTTATT